AGTGCACAAATTTTTGTGCACCGGGCCTCTAGTATGTATATAAGATTTTTGGTTAATCTCTTCCTGCATACCCTCCCTACCCCCAAGATTCATCAGTCTGTCCAATTTTCCATGCCTCTGGTTCTGTTTTATTCATCAGTTTATTGTTTTCATTATATTTATTTTGATTTTTTGATACAATTGTTGATAGATATGTATTTATTGCCATTTTATTAGTCATGTTTTTTATCCTCCCCCTCCCCTTCCCTCTGCTTCCCTCTCCTCCGCCTCTTCCTCTTATTAAAGGATACCCTTCAGCATTTCATGTAATCCTGGTTTGGTGGTGATGAACTCCTTTAGCTTTTTCTTATCTGTGAAGCTCTTTATCTGACCTTCAGTTCTAAATAATAGCTTTGCTGGGTAAAGTAATCTTGGTTGTAGGTCCTCGCTATTTATCACTTTGAATATTTCTTGCCACTCCCTTCTGACCTGCAAAGTTTCTGTTGAGAAATCAGCTGACAGTCATATGAGCACTCCATTGTAGGTAACTAACTGCTTTTCTCTTGCTATTTTTAAGATTCTCTCTTTGTCTTTTGCTCTTGGCATTTTATTTTATTTTATTTTTTATTTATTTATTTATTTTTAAATATATTTTATTGATTTTTTACAGAGAGGAAGGGAGAGAGATAGAGAGTTAGAAACATCGATGAGAGAGAAACACCGATCAGCTGCCTCCTGCACATCTCCCACTGGGGATACGCCCGCAACCCAGGCACATGCCCTCGACCGGAATCGAACCCGGGACCCTTCAGTCCGCAGGCTGACGCTCCATCCACTGAGCCAAACTGGTTTCGGCAACTCTTGGCATTTTAATTATGATGTTTCTTGGTGTGGTCCTCTTTGGGTTCCTCTTGTGTAAGACTCTCTGTGCTTCCTGGACTTGTAAGTCTATTTCTTTCACCAGGTAAGGGAAGTTTTCTGTCACTATTTCTTCAAATAGGTTGTCGCTGTGATGCTCTCTCTTCTCCTTCTGGCACCCCCATAATGCGAATGTTGGTATGTTTGAAGTTGTCCCAGGGGCTCCTTATACTATCTTCATATTTTTTTACTCTCTTTGATCTTCTTATTTGGTGTTTTTTGCTTCCTCATATTCCAAATCGTTGATTTGATTCTTGGCATCTTCTACTCTGCTGTCGATTCCCTATAAATTATTCATTTCAGTTAGTGTATTCTTCATTTCTGACTGGACTTTTTTTATGTCTTAGAAATTCTCATAAAGATCCTTGAGCAACCTTATAACCATTGTTTTGAACTCTGTATCCAGTAGTCTGCTTGCTTCCATTTAATTTAGGTCTTTTTCTGAAGATTTCTTCTGGTCTATGTTTGTGACATGTTTCTTTGTCTCCTCATTTTAGCTGCTTTCTTGTATTTGTTTCTTTGTATTAGGTAGAGCTGCCATGTCTCCTGGAATTGGTAGAGTGGCCTTTTGTAGTAGGTGTTCTATAGGGCCTAGTGACTCAGCTACCCTAGTCACCTGAGCTGGACACTTTAGGTGCGCCCCTGTGTGGGCTGTGTGCACAGTTTTGTTGTAGTTAAGCCTTGATTGCTATTGGCATCACTGGGACGAGTTGACCTCCAGACCAATTGGCTATGTAGACCAGGCTGCAACTACAGTGGGAGAGCTGCTGTGCAGGAGACACCCTATGGAGCAGGACTTGCTTCAGTGGAGCTATGGTGCTGAGTCTGCCCCTTGATTGTGTCACTTGTGGATGTGTAGAGTTGTAATCTACTATGGTCTGAAACTGTCCGCCAGGTGTACTGGGTCTGGTGCCTCCCAGGTGGTACACAGTCAGCCACTGCCTGGGACCACCCTGCAGGAGCTACAGAGCTATCCGCAGATGGCTGTTACTTGTATTGGGCTTGGAAATGCCAGGTGAGGGCAAGCTGTGAAGCAAGGTAGGCTAGTGCTAGCACTGGGTCTTAGGCCTTTCATTGATAGTTTTGGGGTATGCTGACGCGAGCTGCTGCTTGTTTGAGAGATTATAGGAATGTCTGAAGCCTGAGCCAGGATAGGCCATTCATATGTCAGAACTGCTGCAAACAGCTTGGGTGGGGCTGAAAATTGGATGGGGTGTGGCCTCAGGGAATCACCAGGCTGAGCGAACATTGTGAGCCAGGCTGATGGAAACTCAGATATGGCTGCCAGTCAGCTCTGCGACGGGTGTATGTGTGTGTGTGTGTGTGTGTGTGTGTGTCAGCATAGGAACAATGACCTCTGCGAGCATCCTTGACTGGGAGAAAGCCGCCCCTGAGTTCCTGCCCTGATGCCACACCATCCAGTTCCTCCCCATAGGTTCCTGGATCCCCCAAAGCCACTGCCCCCGTGGAAGTGAGTCCAAGTAAGTTTATGTGCTGGTCCCTTAAGAGGAATTACCTGGGTCTCCAGCAGCCTCTGTGCCACTCAGTCACAATCCTCACTGTTTTTTACAGCCTGAAGTTATGGGGACTTCTCTTCCTAGCTCTGGAACCCTGGACTGGGAGTCTGGTGTGGGGCTAGCGCCCCTTGCTCCTCATAGGAAGCCTCTGCAACAGAGATCTCCCTCCTGATTAAAAAAGCGCCACACGTGGGTGTTGGACCAGCCTGTCCCTCACCTCCGTCCCTCCTACCAATCTTGATGTGCTTTCTTCTTTCCTTCTCTAGTTGCAGGACTTCCATTCAGCCAGCTTTCAGGCGGTTCTGAATGAGGGTTGTTCTGTATTTTAGTGGTAATTTTGATGTGGTTGTGGGAGGCGGCGATACTGGCATTTACCTACACTGTCATCGTGGTTCTCCTAATGAGTCTTTACTTACCTGTCTTCTTTATTTGTCTTCGACAAGAACATTAACTCTCAGGACCAGGATCTTTGTTTTATTCACCACTTGTTCCCAGTGCCTGGACCAGTGCCTTGGCACATGGTGGGCTCCCAGGAAACACGGGGTGGACAGACAGATGCATGGTTGCTGAACTAGATGCTCTCAAGTCAGTGCTGGCTCTTTTGATTTCTGGCTTGGGGGCCTTTGTAACCTTGGAACCCAGCATCTCCTTTGTGGGTAAAAATGGCCTAGAAAGGTATGAAGGCTGTGGCAGTTCTGTTGGTGGTGGGCTGTTCTCCAGGACTAGGGACAAGAAATGGCTTTTGGGTTACATAGGGTTAAGTCAGAATGGTGTGGGAAATTGTCATAATTTAGTCTTCTCAGATCTGTTGGGACAGAGAACAACAGTGACTCCCATGATGTTCAATTGTTTGAGGAGCAGTCTGGAGCCTTCTAGAATACCACTGAGAGAGAGTGCTCAGTTCTCTCCCCTCACACCCCAGACATTCACATGGCTGCTTAGCTGGGTTTGGGTCAGTCCTTGCAGCCCTGTGGATGTGACAGGCGTAAGCAGTTTGCCCACTGGTTTATAAAAGGTAAGGACCCCCTGCAAGGCCTTCTTTGGTCCACGTGCTGCTGTCGTTTGTTCATTTAATCTCTCAGCCCCTGTTTAAGCACCTGATCCTGTCAGGCCTCTCTGGGCTTTGGAGTGGAGCTGGGTGCACCTATGGTCCAGTTAACACGGGCGTGTGTGAGCCTCAGTGCTGGAGGACAGGGGGGGAGCCCGGGGCCGATGGAGGCCTGGTGGGCTGGGTGGGCATTGGAGGGGGCCTGTGGGGAAACTGGGGATGTCAAAGTTCCAGCCGCCAAGCCCTGGGCCGCCTCCCTCCTGATTCATCCTGTGGCCAGGGCACTCCAGAGGGCCAGGGGCCTGCGGGGGGGGGGGGGGGGGCAGGTTTCCGTCGCCTCCATCCTGCATGTGCTGTGGCAGAAGTTGCCTGCCCCTGGAAGGCCATACCTGGCTTCCCTGCTCACCTGTTGCCCAGGTGTGCTCTCTCGAACCTCTTTAGGATTTACAGATGTTTCCTCTAAGGTGCAGATGATTCATCTTGGGCTCACGCTGATTGGGGTTAAAATCTTGGTGCCTGCTTGCCGACCTTGTGACATTAGGCCTGTTTTTTATTTACATATTTTATTGACACTATTACAGATGTCCCTTATCTCCCCCCTTGCCCACCTCCACCTGCCCCCGCCGCCTTTACATTAGGCCTGTTTTTAACTTGGGAGCCTATTTGTGTTTTAAAGGCAATTTTACTTTTCCTGCGATCTTTTGGAGAGAATAGGGTGATAATCTTGCTTCTTCCTCCTGTCCCGGAGGCTTCCTCCCCACCCTCACCCTATAGTTTAAGACCTGTTTGAAAAAGCGGACATCGAGATTGGGTGGCTGTCAAGCTGGAAGGGAGGCTGGGTTTTGCAAGGGGTGGGGAGTGACCACCAGCAGCCACCTCGGAGGTGGGTGGAGCCTGCTGACTTGCGCCCTGGGCCTGAGCAATGCAGACAGACCTAGAGCGGTGACTCTGAACTTGGTTGATGCGAAGCATCCTGGTGCTTCCTCAGTCAGAACACTGGGACCCACTGCATCGTGGGAGCTAGTACAGAGTCTGGGTGCAGGGCCAGAGGGAGCTTCTTTTTTTTTAAAATATATATTTTATTGATTTTTTACAGAGAGGAAGGGAGAGAGAGAGAGAGAGTTAGAAACATCGATGAGAGAGAAACATCGATCAGCCGCCTCCTGCACATCTCCTACTGGGGATGTGCCCGCAACCCAGGTACATGCCCTTGACCGGAATCGAACCTGGGACCCTTCAGTCCGCAAGCCGACGCTCTATCCACTGAGCCAAACCGGTTTTGGCTTCTTTTTTTTTTTCTTTTTTTTTTTTGAGGGAGAGTTTCTAACTCCTCCTAAGATGCTCCTGTGGCATCACTGTTTTATTTGAAGTATGATGAGGTCCTAGAACTCTAGGTACAGTTTTCTTCAACAAATTCTCTATTTGATGTTTCTTTCCATAAACACACACACATTGTAATTTTAGAGCTACATATATTTTTTAATGATCTTGGTTTTGTGGATTATGTATTGAAAATAGAAAACATTCTTCTATTCCAGACTCCTTTTAACTTTGGCATGAATCACAGAACTCCACCCTACCCCGCCGGGGACTACTGCCTGCTGTGCAGAAGCGAACGCAAAGACTCTTCCTTCCTAGAGAGTGGGATTAAGACTGCGAGCAAATTGGCGCTTTCCGTGGCTCCCAAGGGCAACAGCGTGCTGCACCTGCCGCTGTGGGTGTGCCCTGACTGCAGGCGGACCGTGGAGAAGGAGGAGAGGCACGGAGGCCTGGACCAGCCAGCGGTGAGTGCCCTGCAGAGCGCCCGCGCTCCCTGACTTCCTTAGCCAGCGGGTCGCGGCTTATTGGGCAGTGAGATCGTTGATACGGGTCTGTTTTCCGGGAACAACTCCTTCCTGTGCCATCCTCTGGTCCCTGCTCCACTCTCCACCTGCTGGGCTTTCCTCCGGGTCTTCCCTGTCACACCTGCAGGAGGTGGTAGGGAGCTGCCCCCCTTGGTCACACAACTTGGTGAGCAAGTTTGGGGGCCTCAAAGATAAGCTTTGTAGTCTGGTCTCAGGATTTCTTTGGCAAAGCAGTTTGCTGAAAAGCTGGAAGGCTTTTCATGTGTTTAATTTTAATTTAGACAATTCCATGTGCTGGTAACTCGCCCGAAATTCTTTCCCAGGTGCAGTTCTCAAGTCCTGGTTTCCTCCTTTACCTGGATATCATGTCTCAGCTAAATGGGGGCTTTCTTGAGGCCCAGGCTTGTGTGGGAAGGCCACCCCCTTAATCTCATTGTTGGCGCAGACTGTGGCTTAGGGGGCCTTGCCTCTGAAAGGGCTTTCAAATCTGCTCTTTGGGTTCTGGAAGGAGTTGGCTTTTGCAGCCATTTGAGGCCCCACCATCGAGGGCTTCTCTGCTCCGTTGATCTCTGCTTGGGAGCAGTTGTCCTTGTAACCTGTCTTCTGACCCAAGACTGCTCTCGGGTTGGTGCCTGGTGAGTGAGCGGCTGCTGCACAGTGTACGTTGCCTTAGTCTCTCTGGTCTTGTCTGTCTCCTTGCTGCCTGCCACTGAGCCAGTGACTTCCGTTTTGGGGTTTCCTTGAAGGCAGCACCCCAAATCATGTGGCATTTTCTGGAGTAGTGCTTTCATAACTAAACCTAAAAAGAAATGGGTTTTGGCCTCCCACATGCCCCTTCTCCTGCTCTGTCCCTCTGGCGCCTCTTTCTGATCACTGTGTATTCACTTTGTTGTGTGTTTTTTTGTTTGTTTGTTTGTTTGTTTTTTTAATATATTTTATTGATTTTTTTACAGAGAGGAAGGGAGAGAGATAGAGAGTTAGAAACATCGATGAGAGAGAAACATCGATCAGCTGCCTCCTGCACATCTCCTACTGGGGATGTGCCCGCAACCCAGGTACATGCCCTTGACCGGAATCGAACCTGGGTCCTTTCAGTCCGCAGGCCGACGCTCTATCCACTGAGCCAAACCGGTTTCGGCTGTTTTTTGTTGTTAATCTTCGCCTAAGGATATTTTCCCTTGATTTTTAGGGAGAGTGGGAGAGAGAAGGAAAGACAGAGAGAAACATCGATGTGAGAATAACACATCAATTGGTTGCCTCCTGCAGGCTCCCGACCAGAGCCCGGGCTGAGGAGGAGCCTGCAACTGAGGTACATGCCCTTGACCGGAATCGAACCCGGGACACTTTGGCCCGCAGGCCGACACTCTATCCATTGAGCCAAACCGGCTAGGGCCGTATTCACTTTGTATTCCTTCACTGGAGCATACTCCATGAGGGCAGTTGTTTGTGTGTCGTGTTTCCTTACCAAGAACTGTGCCAAGCCTGGCATATTTTAGGTACCCAGAGTATTCCAATTAATGAGTACATAACTGAATGAACAAAGAAAGGAGCAGACCGTGGGATCCCTCATTGGAGATTAAGAAGGTGGGTAGGCAGTGTTGAGTTTTCACCCTCAGATCTTTCTGCTTTTATCATTTTCTTCTTTCCTTTCTGTGTGCACCTCAGGTGTTTGGTCCCCCCTGTTGCTGCAGAGGGCATGTTAGTGCCACCGGCGCTGGCTTGTTCCTGAGCACTGTCGGCGGCGTGCCAGCTCTTTCGCAGCTGAGCGTTCTGTCTCCAGCTCGCTTTCCTTCCTTCCTGTGTCCAGTCCTGTCCCACCTGCGGTGCCTTTGAGGAAGGGTTGCTGCTTCTCTTCTGGTTTGGGACGCAAGTGGAAGCATCTCCGATTTCTCTTGCCATTCAGGGAGTCTCGCTTCCACACTCCCAATTTGCCCCAGATAATGGATTATCTAATGAGGCTTTTCTCCTCATCAAAAAAGTGACCCCAGGATCACCCAGGTGTCTCGTTGGCCTGTGTTTGTAGACTTAGACCTCCTGTTGTTTTCATAAAGTTGGCCTCTTTGCTCAAGCTGGTTAAAATTGCTGGCCTTTAAAAATATACATATAATTTACATGTGATAAAATTCACCCTTTTAAAGTGAATGTAGTTCAGTGAGTTTGACAAACCTATGCAGTTGTGTAACCACCACCTCCACCCAAGCTCCCTTGTTCACTGTCATCGGCAGCACCTCCCCTCGCCCCCCAGCCCTTGCAACCATCGCCCTGATTCCGTCCCCACCGTCTTTCTTTTCCCGAGGTCACAGTCTCCTGTAATTCGGCATAGTTGTGTGTACTGCTGCACGCATTGTCCAGCTGCACACGATTCGTTTCCTCATTCACTGTTGATGGACGTGGGGTTGCTTGTGGATTTGGACTTTGCTCTGGCTACGTCACCACACCCCAAGAGGTGGAAACCTTTTTCTCTCTTCCCAACTCCCCAACCCATCTCTGCCCTGCTCAGCTCAGCTGTTGAGCTCCCCACTTCAGGGCCAAGGCCCTTCTCACCTCTTACCCTCATGGTTGGGGAGGCCTTTTCCCTGGGGCTTCCAGGTACCTATCCCTTTCCATCCCCCCAGTGCTTTATGCTTGGTTATTCTTTTCCTCTTTATTTTATTATTTTTATTTTAAATTAAACATATGTTTATTGATTTCAGAGAGGGAAGGGAAAGGGAACGAGAGAAACATCAATGATGAGAGAGAATCGTTGATCACCTGCCTCCTGCATATCCCTTCCCGGGAATCAAGCCTGCAACCCAGGCATGTGCCCTGACCGGGAATTGAATCAATGACCTCATGGTGCATGGGTCGATGCTCAACCTTGACCATGCCACCGGGCTATTCTTTTCCTCTTCCGTGTCACAGATCTTTTCTTCTCTCCTGGGTCATGCCCAGGAGAGTGCAGGTGCTCTAGCATTGTCCACTTGTTAAATAACCGCCTTTGCCCAGCCCTCCCTTCCCGCTGCCACCATCTCCTTTCGCTCCCTTCAAACCATGCATGTCTCTGTAAATGTAAAACTTCTGGTTTAATGTTTGAAACTTCCATTTCTTCTCAGGTTACTTTGGTAAATTATATTCTTAGAAATTGTCAGTTACCGGTATGCACTTGTGTGCAGACAGTCTCTTTAATTCTGACCATATTTGTAGATGCAACTCTTGGAATTCCTCATATTTCTGCCCCCCCCCCCCTTTTTTTAACCAGTCTTGGCTAGAAGTCTGTCAATTTTGTCTTTTCAAGGTAGAGCTTTTTAATTTTTAAAATATCTCTCACTTTGTTTCATGAGTTACTGCAGCTTGATGCGCGTGCGATACGTATTTGATTAGTGAATGCTGTGGGGCACACAGTAAATGTTGGGAGGTACCCGTGAGCACAGCAAGTCACTGTCCCTCTCACCGCCTCCTCACCATCCTCCTCATCCTCCCAGAGGCATCCACTGCCACCACATCCTTGTCTGTTCCTCTGGAGAGGTTCCATTTGCTCTGCACCAAGGAGGTAGCGGTGGGCACTGTCAGTAAGTGAGGCGTGTGGCTCGCCCAGTGTCGTGTTCTGGGAGAGGGGTGCGTATGCCCCGAGAGGTAGGGGCTGCGCTCCAGCTTCTGAGGGCTGCTGACAAGTGTCTTGGAGCCTGAGCTTGGGTGCCATCTGCTTGGGGAGCTGCATTCCTGTGCTCATCTCACCTGGAGACCTGTGGGAGCCTGAGCCCTGCTCAGCCTGCTACGTGGGAGAAGGAGTGAGAGGGCCTGTCCCCGTGCCGATGCCAGGAGGCCTGCAGGAGGCAGTGGGCCTTCATCCCAGTTGGTCCACAGCTGCAGTGGCTTCTCCTTTCTTTCTGTGGCTACTCCCCTGCCTTCCTAAGTTGAGTTCTTTCTTACCCACCAGTTTCTGTTCTCTGGTATGTGCTGGAAACCTCTAATGGATGCTCTCGATTTCGAAATGTTAGTTGTATTGGCTCAATTTTAAGTATTATCCAATTTTCAGTATTTCTGTTTTGAACTATGAATTATCTACTATTCATAAATATACAAACATATCTTTCTAGGATTACCTTTAATCATGCTGACTTTTACTTTACTGCTGTTAGAATTAGAGGTCATGGTCTGTGGTCAGTTTCACTAACCTGTGGTTAAGTTTTCATGAATGTCCGTGAAAGCTTGAAAATGTCTCCTCAGAGTTGAGATGGAGAACTCCACGTCTTCCCTTGTTAATTATGCTCATAAGCCTTTTGTATTCTGATTGGTTCTCTGTGTGCTTAACTCTCTCAATTTCAGAGTAATATCCGTTCAAGTCTCCTACCATGCATGTACGTTTGTCTTTCTTATAAATATTTCCATCTTGATTGACATGTTTCAAGGCTGTGCTGGGTGACTATAGGTTAAAATGATTAAATCTTCACACGTTCCTTTTCCTCTTTTTAAAAATATTTTTTATTTATTTTAAAAAAATATATATATTTTGAGAACCAAGATGGCGGCATAGGTTAACGCTGGAGTTTGCTGCTTTGAACAACTACTTCAAAAGTGAAACTAAAAGACGGAAGGGACATCACCCAGAACCACAGGAACGCTGGCTGAGTGGAAGTCCTACAACTAGGAGGAAAGAGAAACGCATTCGGACACTCAGAGGAGGCGCAGCGCTGAAGTCAAATTCTGAGGTGCGGAGTGTGCGGAGCGGGCTGGCGGCGGAGGGCGCGGTTGGTGTTTTCAATCGGGAGGGAGTCGCAGACTCTGAGCTCCAGATACGGGCGAGTCTTTAGCGACCCAGACTCAAACGGGAGAAGCGGGACTGTCTGGCTTCGGTCAGAGCGAGTGCAGCTTTCTCTCTGAGCTTTGCAGCGGGTGCTGGGACTCAGAGAGGCAGAGCCCCTGGGGACAGGACTGAGAGCCGCCATAACTGCTCTCTCCAG